CCACCTGAATATCCGCCCCCAGACTATGGTCAGCTACAGTATGCGGAGCGGGAGATGAGTACCCAGCTGACTCCAGTCTTTGATATCTACTTTAATGCAGAAATGGCTCAGACATGTTGCATAAATGCCCTTCCCATGTGAACACAGTCCACAGCCAAACTGGGCCTTTGGCCCTGCGTCATAGGGCAACAGAAGGGGGGGATGGTTCATATCTGGAGAGGTATAATTGAGTAATATAAAAGAGGACCTCATAAGTTTTATGGCTCAGCAAGAATTTGCCCTGAAGTCCCTGAAGGGAAATCCAATAGAGGTAATAACTTATGTCATTACCACAGCTAACCCTGATGAGTCCTGATTCATCACTTCACTATATTTGAGCTTCTGCATAGTTTCCTCATTCAGCAAAGAGTTACTCCCATGTGTTCCACAAGCTAATTAGCCATCATGCTGATGAAAAAAGGGAGAAACAGGCATCTATTCCACCAGTCCTAGATCCCTTGGCATGTCGTGGTATGTATCTACAGCTGAGATACAAATTGTGCAGTACTCCCAGCACATCTAGGCAGCAGAGCTAATGGTGAGGAATGATGGGAGTTGCAATTTGGCATCTGGAGGGTCACACAGTTCCTACCTCTTTGCTATAGCACCAGTGATTATCAGTCTGGGACAATTCTCTATCTGTTCTTTCATGGAAGGTTTTCATGGAAGGAAGGCAATACCCTGTGTTTTCAACTGTGACTGGAACCAGAGTCCTCTAAGAGACTCATATGATTACACAAGTCATTGATCCAAAATAGGACTTTGTTGGTGATTATTGGAAGCAGCAGGCATTTGGAACACAGAAAGTTCACTTCCCCACATCAGTGCAAAGTAGCTGGGGCCAAAGGCTATGGGGAATATTTTTGAAGCTAGCAAGTCTTTTGTTTTTGAAGCTAGCAAGTATGTGTGCACCTCGCATCAGAAGCCAGGTGGAAGGTGAACATGTGCTGAAGAAATATTATAGTAAACATCTAAACAAAAAAGAAATCTTTATGGCACATATGTGAACAATAAGGCTAAGGATGTGGGAAACTGAGAAGATGGAAATCAAAGGGGGGGAAAGACTCCCAGCTAAGTCGGAACTTCCCAGAAGACAGTAAATGCTTAGCTTTCTCACCTACTGGTTTGTTCTTCCAAGACTAACTATAAAGCTAGATTTGTCAAGTAAAAACAAAGCAAAATAAAAATAGCGATAGCAATAGCAAGTACATTTCTATACTGCTTATCAGTGAACTATCGCTCCCTAAATGGTTTACAATGTGTAAGCCAATTGCCTCCAACATGCTGGGTACTCATTTTATCAACCTACGAAAGGATGGAAGTCTGGGTTGACCTTGGAGCCCTTCTGGATTGACCTTACATGCTACTGGACAGCTGTATAATGGTTGTCTGTGACATTGGTCAAGGACTCCAGAACCCATCATGCCTGCTAGCTGTGTCATGAGAACTAAAACAAAACTTTACTTGTGGCATATGCATCTTATCGTTACATATGGTGCTACCAAAGATTGAATATCTTCCTCTCACTTGAATACATGTGGAAAATGGCATGTGTATGCCAATTCTGCATATAAAGGTGTTTCATGTAAACATGTATGGAACATTTTCTGATGTAACATTCTATAGTCTTGATCAATCTCAAAGGCAGCCAAGATCCACATTATCTGGTATTGTGTGGGGCCCACTCTGCATGGTGTTCACATCTGATTTCCAAACTTCCTCAAATGTTGTCATTTAATCGATTGTAAAATTGTTACTTAAATTAAACCCATTTATCTCCATTGTTTGGGAAGAAAAGTGTCTTAGCCAGTTGGGATTTTCTTTAGAAAAGCTTTCATATTTAGAGGAACATGCACCAAAACTGAACTGGCCATTTCCCCTCTGTTTGACTCAAATAAAATTGGTATATTTTGCACAGATCCAAAAATGGTGCATGGATAGGAATACACATTGGGGCACACTGCCCAGCAGATTCACTTGAGACCTTGATCATCTGCTTTGGGAAATGACCTGGTTGCACTTTGACTGATGCAGAGACCATCCAGTTTCTCAACAAGAGTTGAGATTCAGAAATATTATTTTTTTAAAAAAAGAAAATGATTTGAAATTTTTCTATTTGTAAGAACTGGATCGATTTTGAATTTTTTCCCCTTTGGGAGGAAAAATGCCTTTGAAATTGCTGACCAATAGGTGCTGGGGCAGGGGAGGATTGGCTACATGTCTGTGATATTTTTAAAATTCCAATGCATTTTTTAAAATCTTAGACTAGAAAAGGAATGGAAAGGATAAAGTATTCATTATTTTATTTGTTTCAAAAGACCTTCTTGCAATGTGGAGAGTGGATTTGTTTGGGTTCATTGGATTTATATTATGGCTTTTTCCTAAAGATAGCACTCCCCATTAGATTTCTCAGTTCTTGACTTACCCCACTGCATGTCACCTGCACTGATGTTTCCTTCCTAACTATTATGCAGCTCCATCTCTAATTCCACACCAGTATTGTGAGGGGAGAATTATCAAGTTCTACTATTTTTTGCCATTACTCACACACACACACACACACCCCGGATGAATCCACCAAAGAGCAGGGAGAAGTCATAACATCCCCGGAATGATACAGTTGAGATGGAGGAAAAGACAACGTTCCAGGGAACAAATTCCTGAGGAAAATGTCCTCCGGGAGTCTGTAGAACTGGCAGGGACTGCAGACACAAAAGACAGCATGCCCCCATCCTTCAGTGAACACAAAAGGAAGAGGTGCCACACCCAGTTCACATCAAATAGTAAATGCTGAACTAATAAGGTACTAATGAGGCATAGGTGACCTTGCATGAACAATCAATAAATATTGCAACTGTTCTCTCCCAGCCTTACTGCTGACAACTGTCTCATCTGCTGGCACTCCTCTCTTGTGTTCCTGCCTCTGGACTTCAGGCATTTGCTGACTTGTCGTCATGACAGTTTCCTTTGAGAGGAGTTCAAGGTACACAAAAGAAAAGGTGAGAATAAGCACATACACCAGCACACTTCACTATACCAGTTATCAAACTGGTTGTGCATGGTGGTCCAAGGTGGCACTGGAAATGCATGGTCATGTCATGAAGATGTGGTTACCACAGGATATTTAAGTGTAGAGAGGCTGTGTGGCATAGTGGTTTGAGTGCTGGACTACAACATTGGAGACCAGGGTTCAATTCCACACTCAGCCATGGAAACCCACTGGGTAATCTTGGGCATGTCACACATGTTCAACATCAGGGGAAGGCAATAGCAAACCTCCTCTGAACAAATCATGGCAAGAAAACCCTGTGATAGGGTCACCATACATTGGGAATGACATTAAGGCACACCACAACAAGAGGTAGCATTGGTGAATCAATTCTGTGGCATCCGATGGCTCCCATGTCAAGATTGTGATGAATCTTAGGGTTATTCCAGACACCAAAGGAACTAGCCAAGATGCTGAATATATATTTGGGGACTCATGAAATGGAAGCCATCAGCCACAACTATAAGGAGCATTGACAGCAGAGTTCTTCCATGAATGCTTTCGTGATTTCTTAAAGAAGGGCAGGAATCAAATACGCAAATGCATCTACTTCTTCCCTAATGTCCATGTATATGTCCATGTGTACATATACACAGGAATTCCCTTTCCCATAGTGCTTCTCCACTAGAATTAAGATCTAATTTTTAGAAGGGAGGAAAAAACTTAAACATTATATTAATAATTCATTGTCGATATTAATGGCTGAGTTAAAAACTTTAACAAGTTGGTGTTACAAAACTGTCAAAATGGTAACAGGACTGCCTTCTTTAATTTCAGCCACTTCTGATGAAGCGTAGGGAAATGCCTTATTGGTGTGCAGTGTTACCAATTATCTGACAGAGCCAGAGTGTATTTCGAGCTAATCAGAAATAAGAGCACAGAATTAAATCTCCCGTGTGAAACTCATCATTTACATATTTATGATTCAGAAATGATAATAAGGCTAATGAGAAGCTCACGTTGAGCCTTTAAAAGTCAACCCAATCTTACAGTTAATTTTCAATAGCTAAAAAGCTTCCTGGTACATGGGAGTAAAAAAGAAAAAATCTTTTTATTACCATTTAGTTTAATTAAACACTGAAAGTTATTTGTGGAGATATATATACAGAGAGAGAGAGAAATTGCACCAGGTTACTAATGCTGAGTGGACAAGGACATACAGCTATGAAGAAGGTCAGCAAGGTTATTTTTATTTCTCTTTGTCTGACTAAAACTTGTTGTGTAAGGAAGACCACTACCTTTTCTTTTGATGAAATGTCAGAGTAGTCACATCCCTGTATAGGTTTTCTGTACATGCAGTAATGTGAAGTCCTTATAACTGTGCTCATTACATTTGTATGGATGTACAAATTAGTCGTTGCCTTTGACTTGTATAACCTCCACACTTGCCTGATGTGGCATCATTAGCTAAAGTGGCAATATCTTCCCCTATACACTCTTTCATGCCCACATTCTTTTCTCTTCTTCCTCTTCTTCTTCCTCTTCCTCCCCCCTCCTCTTCTTTACAAAAGTTGTTCTCCAGAAATCAGAATAAATTACTGAAATATCTGATTGTGGAAAAGGATATGTAAAAATAGGGTTTTGCTGATGCTCTGTATTTTGATTTGTGAAAAAGTGGTCTTGGCTTTCACATACTTTCTGTAATTTGCTATTATGATAACATTAAGCCTACATTTCTCAGTGTAATATGAATGAAGGGGATAATATGCCAGCTGCCCCAGCGGATAATACCTGGGGCAGCTGGCATAACTCTTTTTGTGCCTGATAAATACTGCCCCTCTAGCTGTTTCATTTCCATTCCTTTCTA